CTGAGTTCGTAGGAGGGCTCAGCCGTGGGAAAAGCTCGGAACAGGACGACGAGGCACTGATATTATACTGGAAACACAGATAAAAATGCGGTATTAGAAAATTTTAAGTAACTCTTAACGTATTGTATAAAATAATTTTTTTCACATTTATTTGAATACAGATATAAAAAAACCCAACGAAATAAGTTTTTAAAAAAAAAGTGAATTTGAAACATTATTTGTGAAATAAATTTTAAGGTATTCATTCGACTACCGTGATTTTGAAAAAGAACCGTATAAATTAAGGTATCCGACTACGTTCGGAGTGATTTTAAAAAGGCGCATAAATGGATAATTTTCATGATATTTAGTGTCACTTAGATTAGAATACATGTATAAAATTGTTTTGAGGACATTTTGACAAAAAATTAATTAAATACAATATTTCGGCAAAAAATTAACTTCGAATAACCTTTTTTCAAAATGTTCTCCTTTTCTGAAAAATGCTTCTATTATAATAATATTTTGCCTGCATATAGCTCAGACCTCTTTACAGAGGCTCAACTATGAGTTTTGAAAAATTCGCATAATTTTCAAAGTTACAACCATTTGAAATAATTTTCGGCGTTTTTTTCTTAAAAATTCTCCCCTCTGTTGTCGTAAAACATGAATAAACCCACTTCTAAGATATATATATTTCAAAAATTCTAGTTGAGCCTCTGTACAGAGATCTGAGCAAAATATTATTATAATAGAGGCATTTTTCACAAAAGGAGAAGATATCGAAAATGGGTCATTCTATGTTCATTTTTTGTCAAAATATGATACTTAAATTTTTTTTATTGTAATAATATTCTTAAAACAATTTTATACACATTTTCAAATATAAGTGACACTAAATACCATAAATATTATCCAATTATGCGCTTTTGCAAAATCACGGTTCCGAACGTAGTCGGATACCTTAATAGTTTTTTTTTCTTTTTATATTTAAAGTCACCTAAATTAGAATATACATATAAAATTTTTTTAAGAATATTATTACAAGAATAAAATTATTTGAATGCAATTTTACGGCAAAAAAAGGAAGGAAGAATGACGTACTTTCTAAATATTTTTTTGTATGAAAAATGTTTCTACAGTGGTAATATTTTGCTTATATATATCTAGAATTTCTTTACGGATCCTGAACTAGGAATTTTGAAGCATTTAAAGTATTTTCAGAGTTATTATCATTTGAAACAATAACCGATGTTTTTATTAAATATTCTCTGCTCTGATATGTTAAATATGATTAAACTCACTTCTATATAAATTATATATTCCAAAAACTAAAATTCAATTTAATGTATGTTTATATATAACTAAGACTTCTATACAGTGTCTGAACTAGGATTTAGAAGATTATTATTCATATTTTAAAATATCAGAAAGAGAGAGAAATTTTAACGAAAAAACACCGGTTATTATTTTAATTGATAATAACTCTGAATATAAAGTGGATTTTTGAAAAAAAAATTGTTCAGTTTCTGATGAGAAGTCTTAGCTGTAAATAAGAAGAATTTTTTTCACAAAAGGAGAGTGTTTTGAAAATAGACCATTAATTTCTTCACTTTTTCGAGGAAAAATTGCATGATTTTTTTATTATAATAACACTCTTAAAACAATTTTATATGCATATTCTAGTTAATTATCTTTTACAAATATACAGTTCTGAATGCAGTCGGATACCTTAACGCATAAAAAGAATCGTAGCGCCTGAAGTTTATGCAGCAATTGTTTCTTACTTAGAGCCTAAATTGATTTGTGTATTTAAACTAGTTTTCTTATACAGCAGAATTTAAATTTTCTACGAAACAACAACATAATTTCAGTAATGTAACAAAGGGAATTTAATTTTGAGAAAAAAGTGTGAACATCGTAAAAATTTAATTAAAAATTTTTGCAAGTTAGTTTGCTAATTATGTTAAATGAAGTTGCTTTTAAAAGAAAATACTTTCTGGGGAAAAGATAAATATGGGGATAAAAATTGGATTTTAAAGTATTTTTAACCTGAAAATCTGATTAAAATAATTTAATTTTTTCTTTTCTTGACATATTAAACTGTATACAAGCAAGTTTTCAGTAGATGATATGGTAACTTTAAACACATAAATTAAAAATTGCATTTTCATTGCCATAACCTTTTTAATCGATGATTTTAGTATTTAATGATTGCATATACACTACCATTTAGATATGATCAAGGAAGATTTTAATTCAAAGATTTTGAAAATGCAAATCTCAATATAAATTTTCATCCTACATGCTTATATAAGATTTACTTTTCAAATCAAAACATACATCTTTTTTTTTGAAAAAAAAAATCAACTTTGATGGAAATATTTTATGTAATACAAAGTAAATATTAAAAAAAATTAGTAGCTTAGAAATTTATTCGCTCAGAAAATTCAAGTGAATTTTTCATAATGTATTTTAGCAGTTGATTTAAATTCTCTCTTTACACAATATTCTTGATTTAATTTAAAGTTAAGTCTCATTTTTTATAATAAGTTGCAGTTTTTGATTAGTGGCAAAAAGAGAAACTCTCATTAATAAAGAATCATAAATAGGGTTAAATGGTTTCTGTCTTTATTAATAAACTATACACAAATATAACACGTGATACACACATGTTTTTAATTATCATTTGACAGAGAACACAGTCTAGGATCCAGATGGCTAGAAGAAAATTCGTAATTACATATGTTAAATTTTATTTCTGTTCGTATTTCAGATGACGAAACAAGGGCTTTTTAACACTGTTTTTACGTATAATAAATGATGTAATATTTTTTCTAGAATTTTTTGTGTCAATATACTTTATTTTTGATTATTTGATATTTAACACATATGTGTTTTTTTAGCATTATCTAACCATTTTCGAATGCATCTTTAGGTATGTTACCTTTTTATTAATAATGAATTTAAAACATCCGTCTATAATATATCTCATACGCTTTCGCTTAGTATTGTAAACAGAAAGTGAGAAAGTTGGCTAGATATAAAAAAAGTTCAAACCCCACTTTTTTTTCTTTCTTTATAAAACTGCCCTGTGTCAGCATTGTTTATACAACTGGGCTATCTAGCTCTTAATTGTTTTTGAAATTTCAGTTAGTTATTTAAAACTTTAGAATTCAAATCATTGTCTCTCAAGTTAGAGTTGTGATGGGGTATGTGTATATCCCTTGATGAAGAAAGGATTCAACTGCAGTACAAATTAATATTTATGCCACATAATTATCGCAGTTAAATATGTCAATTTGCATGTTAAAATAGGGATCAATGTATATAGTTGGATCTTGCATTAAATTTGGGATACAATTTGAAACCGCGAAAGATATGTTAACTTATTTAAGCAGTCACCTTTAGAGATTTTGTTGTATGTGTTTTACATAAGCGTTGGTTATATAAAATCATTATATTATTCTTAATTTTTACAAACATCACATTTAAATAAAAGCTCGAATATGTCTTAGAGTCGGATTATTTTGTTGATTTAAACTTGTATTCGTTTATCAATCACTTTTCGGCATTTTATAACAAATGTCTTAAAATAAAAAAATATCTGTTAAAATTTGTACTTTTTCCATTTATTAACTTCTTGTATTGTTGCATATTACAAACGTGCAAAAAGAAGTTTATTTCTACAAAAAAAATTTGTTTATAGAAGTATATATTTGAAATCAAAAATAGTTTATATACTCGTTTCATTTAAAAATCATTATGTTTAATTAAACTAAAGGTCAATTTAATTTTTCTTAATTTCCCTAAATTTATAACAACCAATGCTTAAAGCTCAACACATTTATTAAAAATTGCCCCAATAGAATAACAAATGTGTAGGTTATGACCCAATAAAAGTAAAGAACACCTGCTGTTGAAAAGCCCCGATTTCAATGTACCAGATATCACCGACATTCAAGAAAATGATCCTTTTAATTTTAATAAAAAGAGTTGAATGATTTCTCTGCACATATAAAGGCATCTGAAGAGTGGGTGTGCTTAAGAGTTTTCAAGAGTTTACATGTTTCATTTCAGGATCGGTCAATGAACGCGTCTCATCTGACAGCTGAAAAAATTGTCACTTCACATCTAACGCTGCACTTGCAATGAACGTGTCCCCATTAAGTAAAGATTCGAATTAAGCTACTTATCTACTTTAACTGCATGATGCTTTCAGAGTTTTAAGTCTTAACAACATTCGTCAATCTTGTTATCTGTTGTACATATGGAGAAAAGCGGCATTTATCTGTATGCCATTTAAAGTAAAGTCTGATGAATGGTACATTTAAATTAGGATGTATATATTAGGAAAGTAATTCAATGGTTAGCCATACATAAGGTTTCTGTAAGATTTTCATACCTACGTTTACATAATCCAGTCTTTAACTCAGTCGGATTAAATTATATCAACTCTTGTGAAATGTTTATGTAATAGTTCAAAATATAAATAACTTAAAAAATTTTATTTTCATAGGTATTAAGTTATGTATGAAAAGCAATGTGACATTTTATCGTCAGTAAGACTTAAAATAAAATCTCTTCATAATGTCGTTCATATACATATTCAAAATAAAATTTTAATGTTTAATAACTAGTTTGCTTAAGAGCTTAAATAAAATAATAAGCATTATAAAAATCAGTTTTACAATTTCGTATAAATATGTTACTCTAACGCAATATTTTTTTTTCTTCTTAAACTTAAGATGGTTGAATTTTTTCGACATTTCTGATAGTTTTTCAACTCCTATTATTAGTTCACTCTCTCCTATATATATATATATATATTCTGTTCACATTTTCAATCGTCAATTCTTTTTATACATCCATTCCAGTTCAAATATATTTTTTAAAACTTGTAGTGGATGGCACTCGATTTTTCAAATATTAATTCATGAATCAAATTAAAAAATGAATAAATAGTAGCAAAAAAAAATTATAATCCAGCAGCATATATAGAAAGGAAAAACGTTCATTGTGTCCCTGTAGCGCAATGGATAGTGCGTTGGACTCCTAATACAAAGGCCGTGGATTCTAATCCCACCTGGAATGGCCTAATTTCTGAGAATGTGATTTCTTTTTTGCTATACTATTTTCTTAGAATAATTAAATTTAATTAATGAATAAACAGTAATAAACACACACAAAATAGTCCAACACCATATATATAAAGGAAAATGGAAAATTGCAAGGAAAATCTCTTACTATTTTGTCATTTAATATTGTGATTCTGTGTCATACGTATATTAATATTTATATATTATTTGTAACTATTTAATAAAATAAATTTTTCTTTGTTGACCTAAGTAGGAATTGATTTAATTTTTGTTTTATAATACTTGTTTATGCTATAATGTAAAAATTAATCCTGGAAATGCGGAATATACTTTATTCGGACTTAAGAATTATATAAATTTCCCAACTGAAGTATTTTAATTTAATTAATTTATATTGTATTAAGTTTTTGTGAGTGCGTTTTTAAATTATTTTGCTTATTTTATTTATAAGCTAAGAAAACATTAACGATGTAACTTAAGCGGGAAAGATAAATTATTAGTTATTATAGCTCTTTAAATATTTATTCTTGGAAAATATGGATTTCTATTTAATTTAATGATGAATGAATCGAAGTACTAATTAAAAAAAATCCAGTGTGCTCATGAAAATTTAATTTCTTGCATAACTTAACAAATTTGTGTTTATTATGAATTATTATGATTATGCTTATTCAAGGCTATTGTTTAATGTTATTAGTTTTGTTATGTGGAGAACAATCCTACATATAACGAACTGATGTAAAAGTAAAGGTTATATTAGTATAGGTATTGTTATAGTACATATAAGACAATCCACAAAGACAGGTGAAACTGTTAGTGGTAAGAAATTAAAAACAGAAGCACCATTTTTTTTCTTCTTGATGCTTTGTTAGTGAAAATTGAAACAATTAAAAATGCTTGCTTATCGATTACATTATATAAATTTTGGCTTAAAATATTTAAGTGCAAATTTGGGATTTTATACAAATTGTTTAAATAGTTTCAGAAAGTTCCGATACGTTCCTAACTTGAAATTTCAGACCAAGACTACAAAATATTCGTCAAAAAGAATTATGCAAACTAACAAATCAATACTTTAAATTCAATTAATGTTATAATTTGGCTGTTTCCTAATTGTTTATTTATGATGATATAAGCAGGCAAAGGTGAATGCAGTGATTGTCAGAATTCCTTAATTACGTATAAATCTTAAACCATAGTTGTGACTGATCTATACGCGTTTTTTTAACTAATCCTCTTGGAAAATCTTTGGGCTATCAATTCGCGTTATTCACAACAAACCATTCAGAAGAAGATAGTCGTGATATTTAAATTAACTTACTATATATAGGTGAGGTTTTCTATCTTGCGAGAGAGAAGGAGAGAAGATATACTCGAGTCAGGTGAGATCGCTACTGAAGGTATAATATTAGAATTATAGTGATTTGATTCTTATTAGGAGGAAACTTTAAAGTGACGATTGTTCACTAGGATTGATTCAAGAAAAGATTAAATAGGATGATAGGTTAGATCCTTTATTAAGATAAGGATCAAGTTTGATAATCTCCTAATCGTTCGCGTTTTACCATCGTTGTTCCATTTTCACGGTTAGCATTGAGACATTCTCTATTAGTTGAAATTGTGTCTGTTCTTTGTATGGAAAATAAATAGATTAATTGGATCATGTCGAGAAAGTTTTTTCATTTTGGAATTTATTTGAGGGGAAATTTATGTATATATTATATATAAATCTACAATGTATTTGCCTGTTGCCTATTCTTATTTTAAAATAAATCCTTTTTGATAAAAGAAATGTCCTTTAGATTATAATAAATTTATATTTTATTCAAACAGTTACATTTGTGATTTTACTATAATAAATTGCTTTTTTTTAAAATAAATTTCGAATTGCATTATGCATATCCTTTACTCTATGGATGGTACATTATACTCTGTGTGTGCGACTTTCATTTCTCCTCCTCCTTTTCTGTTTTGAGTGCCCAAAATGCAAGAGGCTGTCAGAGATGTTTTTTAAAGTTTAAAAAAATATTCAGGACAGAATATCAATTCAAAAGGAACTCCGTAATTTTCAAGAAAATGACAACTGTAATATTTTAAACATTATTAGATCATTGCATCATTATATTATATAAACATCATTATATTACCTATGTCTGTATACATGGAAAATAATGAAAACAATAATAATAGTTCATTCTGCTGAAAATTTTCACTCCAATAAATGTTTTTTTTGTTTCCAAATCTGATATAAAGGTGCATATTTTTGTGTGCGGCCCGCGAGTTTATGTTTTTCTGAAGTGGCCCGCAAGGTCATTTGGGTTGGTCACCTCTGGCCTAGACAGTAAAAATTTTACGAGAAAATCTCATGATTGATTTTTCAAAGACATCAAAATATTCGGCATAAAATATAACATATTATTTGAAAATTAAAAGCGGAACTGAACTGAATGTTGTTAACGATTATTTTAAAATAATTGCATTTTAGTTAGTTTTTTTTAAACTTGCAAAACTGTCAACATGATTGAAGAAAAAGTACACTTTAGACTTTATGTGTTGTTTGAGTTAAGAAAACTGAATAACACGATGTAGGCGAAGAAAAAAAAACCTTGTGTGACATATTTGGAGAGGAAGAATGAATATGTTTGAACTCGAACAGCTCTAACATGCCAAAGATGTCTTGTGAAATTTAGCTTGGACGATTTTTCTTTGAAAGATGAACCCAGATCAAGAAAACCATCAGATGCCAGTAATGAAGTGCTACGCAAAATGTGACCAGGATAAATCCCACGTTAACTTCCACAGAAATGGACTTCAAGCTTGGAATTCATCAGATTACTGCTTTGAATTATATTAAAAGGCTTGGCTATATGTCTAAACCAGTGGTACTCAACTTTTTTTTCTGCTGGGCTGCATACATATGTCAGCAATTTCATGTGGGCCGCATCATGAGGATAAAGGAGTAGGGTTAAAATGAGGAAAATTGATCAAAATATTTTAACTCCAATTTTGCTTTTTTTAATTATTATTTTTTATATTTTTTATTTTTGTCACTAAGATTGAATTAGAAGCATTTAAGAAACACTCCTCCACAATTTGTGCATCAGTAAAGAGTTTCATATGATTAGCTATAATACAACAAACTTCATAAGATGTCTTTGTTACCGCTGTGACATTACCACTGGAAAGACACTTTGTCGCTGTTGCGAAGATTATTCAAGAAAGCCTATTTATTACTTCTTGAAAGAGATCTTCAAGGAAAAGTGTCATTGAATGATTTCTGTTTCCTGGCATTTTTTAAATTCAGCCCTTTCGTGACAAATGAAACAATTACTAATCCATGTTTGCTTTTCACTGCAAAGTAGTCAACCTCCCAATCATCTTGAAACAATACATTTTCATCGAATATTTTTCGCCTGTGTGATAGAAAGATAGTTAAAATTTAGTTTCATGCATAAAACTGTCACTACTCCACGTTGTCTGTTACCAATAACCGTAACAGTTGCAATTAAAAAAGAATATAAATCCGCATTCGTACGACATCGACAACAAAAAGCAAAATTGATATACTTCATTTTTTCACACCAAATTGTTATATATTGCTCTTAAAAAAGTGAATTTTTCACACTAATAGGCACTGACCGGATCACTTAAGGTAAATGACTATGTTCGGAACCGTGATTTTGCAAAAACGTATAAATGGATAACGTATAACGTATAAATAATTTATGATATTTAGGGTCAAATCGGTAGATTAGCAGTCAAATTAGTTTAGTTTTAAATTGTTTTAAAAATATTATTACAATAAAAAATTATTTAAGTACAATATTTTGACAAAAAATGAACATAGAATGACCCGTTTTCAAAATATTTTCCTTTTGTGAAAAATGCTTCCATTATAATAATATTTTGCCTGTATATAGCTCAGACCTCTCTACAGAGGCTCAACTAGAGTTTTTGAAATATATAACTTAGAAGTGGTCTTATCCATGTTTTACGACAACAGAGGGGAGAAATTTTAAGTAAAAAACGCCGATAATTATTTCAATTGGTTGTAAATCTGAAAATAATATGAATTTTTCAAAAAAAAATAGTTCAGACTCTTTTGAGAAGTCTTTACTTTATACAAGCAAAATATTTTTATTTTAGAAGCATTTTTTATAAAAGGAGAGCATTTTGAAAAAAGATTATTCTAAGTTAATTTTTTGCTAAAATATTGTATTTAAATAAATTTCTTTTTGCCATAATGTCCTTAAAACAATTTTATACATGTATTCTAATCTAAGTGACACTAAATATCATGAAAGTTATCCATTTATGCGATTTTTTTTAAATCATGGTTCCGAACGTTGTCGGATACATTAAAAAGGCTCGGTTCACGTTAATAATTTTTTTTAATTCTAACGCAATATTTTTTTATGAGTCATACATCGAAATTTGAAGCTATATCTTATCTGTGAGAAGGAGAGGAAGATAGAACAATAATTTTTCACTAAAAAAAACCGTGTTCGGGCTATAGAGAGAGGAAAGAAACCTGTCTTAAATCAAAAATAAGTAGAATGGAACAAATTTCGAAAAAGGGAAATTTTTTGACATAATTTTAGAAATCACTCACATTGTGCGCGTACAAACACTCACAGAAATGCTGGTGTCACGAGGAAAAGAGAAAGCCCGAGAAACGCCGGGGTAAGCAGTGGAGGGGGGTGGAAGTCATTTTGAAAATGTGTATTAGAAATTCTGATTTTGTGAAAGAAAGGGAAAATTTATAAAAGTAGAGATAGCCCGTGCAACGCCGGGCCATGCAGCTAGTTTTAAATACAAAGTGAAAAAAAATGTTTCCTTTCTTCTTTAGAAAAAACGACAGAACTTTCCCTTACACCCAATAATTGATATTTCAAGTAAAACTATGCATGGTCATTAAAATAATACTGTGATACGATGCCGGAAAAGACATATAACTTTCTGGTTTGTTTTTTAATTGATTATTATTTCAGTATT